GGAGGAGCAGCCGCCCGGCACCTGGGAGGGCACCATCGCCACCCGCCCCGGCTTCACCTACCGCCTGAGCGAGCACCATGCCCTCTTCGCCATCAACGCCACCTCGGGCGCCCTGCACACCCGTGCCACCATCGACCGCGAGAGCCTGGCCAGCGACGTGGTGGACCTGGTGGTGCTCTCCAGCCAGCCCACCTACCCCAGCGAGGTGCGGGTCCTGGTGCTCGACCTCAACGACAATGCGCCCGTCTTCCCCGACCCCTCCATCGTGGTGACTTTCAAGGAGGACACGGGTAGCGGGCGCCAGCTCATCCTGGACACGGCCACTGAAGCCGACAGCGGCACTACATGGCTCCTATCGCATTGTGGCTGGCAACGAGGAGGGGCGTTTCCGGCTCAACATCACCCTCAACCCCAGCGGCGAAGGAGCTTTCTTGCACCTGGTTTCCCGGGGTGGGCTGGACCGGGAGGCCACCCCCACCTACCAGCTGTTGGTGCAAGTGGAGGACAAGGGCGAGCCCCGGCGGCAGGGGTACCTTCAGGTCAACGTCACCGTCCAGGATATCAATGACAACCCACCCATCTTCAGCCAGACTCTTTACCAGGCACGGGTGCCTGAGGATGCGCCTGTTGGGGCCAGCGTTCTCCAGGTGGCCGCAGCTGATGCTGATGAAGGCACCAATGCTGATATCCGCTACCGTCTGGAAGGAGGTGATGGCGGCGGGGGGGGGGGGGGGGGTTGAGGTGGACCCTGAGAGCGGGGTGATCCGTATCCGGGAGCGCTTGGACTATGAGGTGCGCCAGCAGTACTCCCTGACGGTGCAGGCCATGGACCGAGGGGTGCCAGCGCTGAGCGGCCGGGCCGAGGCCCTCATCCGCCTGCTCGACGTCAATGACAACGAGCCCCGGGTGAAATTTCGCTATTTCCCGGCCACCTCACGCTTTGCCTCCGTGGATGAGAACGCAGCCCCTGGCACGGTGGTGGCCCTGCTGACGGTGAGCGATGCCGACTCGCCTGCGGCCAACGGGAACATCTCTGTGTCGATCCTGGCGGGAAACGAGCAGCGGCACTTTGAGGTGCACAGCAGTAAGGTACCCAACCTCAGCCTTATCAAGGTGGCAGCAGCGTTGGACCGGGAGCGCATCCCGGCCTATAACCTTACGGTGGCCGTGGCCGATAACTACGGGGCCCTGCCGCCACCCCCAGGCTCCCCGACTTCTTCCCTCTCCCCCGATGGGGCGGTGACGGCTCCTGTGAGCCGCTCGTCAGTAGCTAGCCTGGTGATATTTGTGAATGACATTAACGACCACCCCCCAGTCTTCGGGCAGTCGGTCTACATGGTGAACATCAGTGAGGAGGTGCCGCTGGGCAGCTACGTGCGGGGCTTGAGTGCCACGGACCGTGACTCGGGCCTCAACGCCAACCTCAAATACAGCATCGTCTCCGGCAACGAGCTTGGCTGGTTTCGCATCAGCGAGCACAGCGGGCTGGTCACCACGGCCGGCCCCGAGGGCGGCTCTGCCGGGCATGCTGCGGGCACGTCCATTTCCAGCGGGCTGGACCGGGAGACTGCTTCTCAGGTGGTGCTCAACATCAGCGCCCGCGACCAGGGGGTGCAGCCCAAGTTCTCCTACGCACAGCTGGTGGTGACCATCCTGGATGTCAATGACAACAAACCTCGCTTCAGTCAGCCTGAGGGCTACCAGGTGTCCCTGGCTGAAAACTCCCCGTCAGGAACTGAGCTGCTGGTCCTGAGCGCCACGGATGGGGACCTGGGGGACAATGGGACCGTCCGCTTCTCCCTGCAGGAAGCTGAGCCGGCGCTGGCAGCGGTCGGCCCCTCCTCGGTGACCCCTCGACGGATCTTTCGCTTGGATCCCGTGTCAGGCAAGCTCAGCACCATCTCGCAGCTGGACCGGGAGGATCAGGCTCTCTTCTCCCTGCAGGTCCTGGCCACTGATTTAGGCTCTCCTCCCCTTTCCTCGATAGCCCGAGTTAACGTGAGTCTCCTGGATGTGAACGACAATAGCCCCGTGTTTTACCCCGTTCAGTATTTTGCCCATATCCAAGAGAACGAGCCAGCCGGAACCTATGTGACTACAGTGTCTGCCACGGACCCTGATCTGGGACCCAATGGGACGGTCAAGTACAGCATCTCAGCTGGAGACACCTCCAGATTTCAGGTCCATGGTCAGACAGGGGTCATCACGACCAAAATAGCCCTTGACAGGGAGGAGAAAACTGCTTACCAGTTGCAGATTGTGGCCACTGATGGTGGCCATCTTCAGTCACAGAACCAAGCCATTGTCACTATCACTGTCTTGGACACCCAGGACAATCCCCCTGTTTTCAGCCAAGGCATGTACAGTTTTGTTGTCTTTGAAAATGTTGCTCTAGGTTACCACGTAGGTACTGTTTTTGCTTCCACCATGGACCTTAACACCAACATCAGTTATCTTATTACGACGGGCGACCAAAGGGGCATGTTTGCCGTCAACAGAGTGACGGGGCAGATCACCACAGCCAGTGTTATTGACAGGGAGGAACAAGCATTTTACCAGCTGAAGGTGGTCGCTAGTGGTGGGGCGATAACTGGAGATGCTGTGGTCAATATAACTGTCAAAGATTTAAATGACAATTCCCCACACTTTATTCAGGCGGTGGAAAGTGTAAATGTGGTTGAAAACTGGAAAGCTGGGCATACCATATTCCAGGCCAAAGCTCTTGATCCTGACGAAGGTGTTAATGGCGTGGTCCTTTACAGCCTTAAGCAAAACCCAAGGGGCTTGTTTTCAATAAATGAACAAACGGGGGCCATAAGCTTAACAGGGCCACTCGACATAAACACTGGGTCTTACCAGGTTGAAATCCTGGCCTCGGATATGGGGGTGCCACAGCTGTCCTCTAACTTTATCCTGACTGTCTCTGTCCATGATGTAAATGATAACCCGCCTGTGTTCGACCAGCTTTCCTATGAAATTACTATTTTGGAGTCGGAGCCTGTGAATTCCAGGTTCTTTAGGGTGCAGGCTTCTGACAAAGACTCGGGAGTGAACGGTGAAATAGCTTATAGTATAATTGAAGGAAATACTGGGGATGCCTTTGGCATATTCCCAGATGGTCAGCTGTATATAAAAAGTGAACTGGACCGTGAACTTCAGGAAAGATATATTTTACTGGTTGTTGCCTCTGATAGAGCAGTAGAACCACTCAATGCTACTGTGAACGTTACCGTAATTCTGGAGGATGTAAATGATAATAGGCCCCTGTTCAACAGTACCAACTATGTATTTTATTTTGAAGAGGAGCAGAGAGGTGGATCGTACGTAGGTAAAATAAATGCTGTAGACAAAGACTTTGGGCCGAACGGGGAAGTCAGGTATTCATTTGAGCATATGCAGCCAGATTTTGAGCTGAACACGGTAACTGGGGAAATAAGAAGCACTCACCAGTTTGACAGAGAAGCTCTTATGAGGCAAAGGGGAGCTGCAGTGTTTAGTTTCACGGTGATAGCAACAGATCAGGGGTTGCCAAAGCCTCTAAAGGATCAGGCAACCGTACAAATCTACATGAAAGACATCAATGATAACGCCCCCAAATTTTTGAAAGATCTCTACCAAGCTACTATATCTGAATTAGCAGCGAATCTGACACAGGTTCTGAGAGTTTCTGCCTCAGATGTTGATGAAGGGGTTAATGGACTGATTCAGTACTCTGTAATCAAGGGAAATGAAGAAAAACAATTTGCAATAGATAGTAGCACGGGCCAAGTGACCTTAGTAGGCAAACTAGATCATGAAGCTACTGCGTCGTATTCACTTGTCATCCAAGCAGTAGACTCTGGAGCAGTTTCCCTAAGCTCAACTTGCATGTTGAGCATTGATGTATTGGATGAAAACGACAACAGTCCTTCCTTCCCTAAATCAACCTTGTTGGTGGACGTCTTGGAAAATATGAGAGTTGGTGAACTTGTGTCATCTGTCACTGCCACTGATTCTGATTCGGGTGACAATGCTGACCTCCATTATAGCATTACGGGGACAAACAATCACGGGACCTTTAGCATCAGTCCCAACACCGGTAGTATTTTTCTAGCAAAGAAACTGGACTTTGAGACGCAATCTCTGTATAAGCTAAATATAACAGCAAAAGACCAAGGCAGGCCACCACGGTCATCTACAATGTCAGTGGTCATACATGTTAGGGATTTTAATGACAACCCTCCTAATTTTCCTTCGGGGGACATCTTTAAATCTATTGTTGAGAACGTTCCTGTTGGTAGCTCTGTCATTTCCGTGACTGCTCATGATCCAGACGCGGATATTAATGGGCAGCTAACGTATGCAATCATTCAACAGATGCCGAGGGGTAATCATTTCCGTATAGATGAAGTGAGAGGGACGATATTTACCAATGCTGAAATAGATCGTGAGTTTGCTAATCTCTTTGAGTTAACAGTCAAAGCCACCGATCAGGCTGTTCCTGTGGAGTCCAGGCGATTTGCTTTGAAGAACGTGACCATTTTGGTGACAGATCAAAACGACAATGTTCCCGTGTTCGTATCGCAAAATGCTCTCGCAGCTGACCCCTCGGTTTTGATCGGTTCAATCCTAACGACAATTGTTGCTGCAGATCCTGACGAGGGCGCCAACGGAGAAGTGGAATATGAAATAATCAACGGAGATACCGAAACCTTCATTGTGGATCGCTACAGTGGAGATTTAAGAGTAGCGTCAGCTTTGGTGCCTTCTCAGCTCATATACAATCTCATAGTTTCTGCCACGGATCTTGGCCCTGAAAGGAGAAAATCCACCACTGAGATGACTATAATCCTGCAAGGGGTTGACGGGCCTGTCTTCACTCAGCCAAAATACATCACCATCTTAAAAGAAGGCGAGCCTATCGGGACAAACGTGATCTCTATCGAAGCGGCGAGTCCGCGGGGCTCCGAAGCTCAGGTGGAATATTACATCGTGTCTGTCCGATGCGAAGATAAGCGCCTCGGGCGCCTCTTCACCATTGGGCGCCACACTGGTGTCATCCAGACCGCTGCCATTTTGGACAGGGAGCAAGGAGCACGTCTCTACTTGGTGGATGTTTATGCCATTGAAAAGTCGTCTGTTTTGCCCCGCACGCAACGAGCAGAGGTAAAGCTTTTATTTAGTAACTATTTACCTGTTTGCGTTCTAAAGGAGCCATTTGTGTATTTGTTGTTAGCTGTTTTACGGAGGGTAGTGCACAGCAGAAGACCTCGGGGCTGAGTCTGCTGATTTGTTAGTTAAAGGTAACCTTTCAGTTAGTATACCTCAAACTGTTTTCCTCAAAGCCGCTTCTTAGAAATTTGAGAGGCTTACGCGTAGCGCGTAAATTTGCATACTGTAGGCACAATGTCGGTCAAATTTTAGGTACTAAATACTTCAGGTGCTAAAAGCTTTAATCACGAGCATTTTGGAGTTTCGCATGCCTTCTCATTTTAGCAGCTGTTAATTATTTTAAGTCTTTCTGTTCCTATGTGGATTATAGCTGAACTTCTTTCACCACAGTCATCGTGTCAGTGTTTGTCTGAGAACTGGCCAGTAGAGGACTGCCCTCCAAACAGCTCATCTAGTGTCTCAAGTCTTGGATGCGCTTGGTGTCTCTGCCTGGTTAAGCACCTCAGATAGGTCTCCTCATGCATCTTCACTTTAGGTTACTCCTTTACCTTCACTGATGAGTATGAAAATGGTCTTGTTTCTGTTCTTGGATGTGACAGATGGTAAAAGTGTAACGTTGAAGCCGGCAGCTTTCCTTATCACAAAGCCGTTTGCCTCGGTGTTGACTGAAAGGTCTTTCAATGTTCTCTGCATGACTAGCTTGAGGAGCAAAGGGTTTGAAACAACTGTGAAGTGCAAATGTTTTATTGGCTCTGTCTGATAATTGAGCCACAGAGCTGATCGTTTACACCATTCTTGCTGTCTTCTGCGGGAAGAGTGAGAAGCCTGGTGTGCGAGGTGCCTTGTGTTTGTTTTAAGTTGCACCATCTTCTGGAGCTGCCTTCTGTGGGCCTTTTAACTCTCAGTTCCTGGAAGTTTGGGGCTGGCATCGCTGAGTGGGACAACCAGCAGAGGATGCTGGTAGCGTGTAGTGGTTCAACCATTTCCCTCGCCAGCTAAATGTATTACCTCAATACTGCGCAGCCCTACGCATGCCAGGCGTTACCCCCAGCTATGCTCCCTCTTGGGAATTACATCTTAGTTTTGATCCACCAAGGATACTGTGGCGGTTTGGGTTTTTTTCTTTTTGATTTTAGCAGATGTGGTATTTCTAATTCTTACTTGGCAGCTGTAGCTCTTTCTCTTCATAGCCACTTTGTTGTTTTACTGTAGTTTAAGTGTGATCTGTATGGGTATGTAATCTTACTCTCCTGTGCTGGCAGTGACTGATACTCTACAAGTAATTGTTAGGCAGGGAGTTTAAGCACTGTTCAAACTCAAAGATTTCTTAGCATGTATACAAGAGCTCATCTTGGTGTATGTGCTATGTGTTGTGGATTATCATGTTTTGAAGAGCAAATAGGAAGGAAAATAACCTGTTCTAGTAGCTGCTGGTTTAAATAATGCATGCTTTTTTTTATGAGAAGATTATGTTCTATAGGTTCTACAGGTCTTTGTTACCCCTGCTAGTAATCTGTAAAAGATTAAACCATTATAATTTTTTCTTTGATTATTATTACATCATATTTTGTCTTGATGGACAGTTATTTTGAGGGTTAAGCCTTTGTCAGTGACTATTTGGATCACAGTCCTGCAACTTTGAGTCTGCCTGCATGGCCGAAGAGTTTCTTGACTGGAGAAGGACTCATAGGAAACCCTGTGGCTGCAATAGGCTCGTACATTGTAAAAGTATTTAATATGAATAGTTGGTGAGTGGGGAAGAGAACAACCATTGAAACTTTAAACAAATTTTACATCGCTGAATATGAACCATTCCTGAAATTAAAAGCAAATGTTTTATTCTGTAAAACATTGAAAGCAATAGTTGGGAGCTAGGATTTCATATTACTGGTTGCATCTTTATAGCTTCTAAAATGCTTCTTATCCCAAATGTAATTAGCTTACTGTGCTTCTTTAGAAATATATTATAAATTACAATCAGCTATCAACTTTAAAAACCATAACCATATGCAGTCTCTCTCTTGACGGATTTAATTTCTCTGGAATGGCTTTTGCTGTCCCACACTTGAACAAGAACTATTACAGTAAGATTCTTTGTGCGAGCTGACCGTCAGTGGGCGCTGAATAAGCAACGCAGCTTTTTTCCGTGTTGCTTTTGGACGTTAACTTTTTTTGTTCACTGAGGTAGTGGTTTGATGTATCGAGTGCACGCATTCCGGTCTTCTACTGCCAATCTTCTTTCATAAAAACTGGAAGAGCCAGCACCCAAGTTATGTGAGTGTTAGCTCTTATCTTTGGAAACACACTGGTACTAAGGTCTTTGTGCATCAAATGTGCCATTCAGAAGCTTTAATGTTTTCATTCAGTCCTGGTTTTTGCAGTGATGGTTTGAGGTTTGGTATAACCAGAACACTGAGGAGGGACGATGAATTTGTATGAACCTGTAGAATATATAAAGCCAGAAAACTTAAGTGTTCTTTTGCACACGATGTCTTCAACTTGTTTTTGGTATGCGGCGTGAAGACTGACTGATTTTTAGATCCCCTCCATGAGAAGTAAGTTGTAAAGCATTGATGGAGGCACGCAGACAAAACCTGATAGGTACCGCTATACCTGTCAGTTTTCTGAGCAAATAAGCTGTGTGGATATAAGTCTTATTTGTTTGTTTTCTGGGTTCTTTGTGAGGGGAAAAAACCCCTTGGGCTTTGTGTAATTTTTTTTTGCTTCCTTCTCTTATGAAGAGTAATTTGGGTTTTGTTTCTGCATCTGGTTAAAGAAAAGGGGAAAAACCAGTAATGGGATATGCGTAAGAGTTCCTCTTCGCTGCCCTGATGCCAGACATCATCTCGATTGCGCTGTGGCATGCGGGAGAGCCACCGAGCGCTCCGAGCCACCCAGCGTCAAACTCGCTGGCTGAGACTGATGGAGAGAGCAGCCGTAGTGAGAAAGTTAATAATCTTTTGTCTAACGTAGGGTTTAGGAATGGTTTTGGGTGGCAGGTACCTGGTGTGAAATAAAGATATTTACAGCTTTGGAACAGTGACTAGGCTTTGTCTAGCCAGCAGGCAGTATAAAAGAAGAGCAGGCTGGCGTGAAACCACTTACTCTGGAAGTGAATCAAACCATGTCCTTGAGAAATGTTTTTTTTTTTTTTTTCCCCCCCCCCCCCCCCGAATTCTGTCACTAAACTCTACAACTCTATCTTTGTGTTTTGGTTTTTTTTTTTTCCTTCCCCAATAATATCAACTGTATTGAAAAGATCCACCCAGTGCTCCAACCAAAAGTCTCTTTCTCATCCATCCCTGGGGTTTTCCCTATAGGCTCAGACTATAGATCCGCTGATCGCGGGGCTGTACGCTAGCCCCCCCCGAAGAGAGGGGCCAAGGGAAGAGCCAGGCAACAGCAGGACTGCGGTGAACCCCCTCCGGAACCCAAAGCAGATGACATGTCTGGAAACTGAAGGTTTACATTAGGCTTTCAGTAAAGCAACAGCAGAGTTTAGAAAACAAAGAACAGTTTATTTACAGTTTTGTGGATTTGTTTATATTTTTTTTAGCACCGTTTTTCATATTTGCATACGTTTCTGTGCTTGTTTTTACTACGCGGAGAGAAAAGTGGGAGGGTTCAGAAAAGTGCAAGTTGGGTGGTAAAGCTTATGCCTCAAGTACCAAATACGTGGAGATTTGCAAAGAAAACCTGAGTGCTCGTTCCGTTGTATTTTACAGCTACGTGGTATGATTTTGGATAGTTACTGAATTTGAAACCTTTATTTTGGACTTTTAGCCTATTTCTGTGTAATTTACAGTGGCAAAGCAGATGATTTGACATTGTGTGAACGCTGTGATCAGTCTTAGTTTTTCCCCTCCTGTATTACTCATTAGGTGTTGCGCTGTTCTTCTCAGATAAGAAAAAAATACTGTAGGTGTCCTGAAGGGACACCTGTTTGTTCTGTTTGCCATTTTATGCCTTTTTATGTGTTTCTGCTGAAAGAAAAAAAAAAAAAAAACAAACAAAAACTCGGCAATTGCTTAGCTCGTTTCCCTTGGCTCTCCAACGTAAAATGTCTTTTAACCTCTTCAGGCAGGACTGAGGGTTTCACCACCGTGATCTTGTGTTTAATATAGAATGGCTAATGCCTGTTGGCATCACTTGAAACCCGTGCGGCTCTTCCGTCCTGCCTCCCAAAGCAACGACCGTACGCTCCGGGATCTTCTGGGTTGGGCGCGTGTTGTACCCTGTTTTTCGGCTGGCAGGAATAATAGGAACCCAGGGACAATACCTCATCTTCTGCGCTGTGTTTCTAGGGATTAAACAGAATTAGACAGGATCTCTGGTTTGCATGTTTAACCCTTCAGCGGATGGTTTCCTTGAAAAGGAGCAGCGGGTTTGCTAGGGACCAGCGAGGCCAAGATGTATATCGCATACGGCAAACGAGAGGGTAACGGTTTGGGAGGTGAGCCACTCGTGCAGTTAAACATCTTTCGTGTACTTTAAATAGGTTCATAGTTTCCAGGGAAAGGAGAGGAGGGTATAAATGAGGAAAGGGTATAAACTTCAAAGGAGAGATTTAGTGAGGGTGTTGATTTGAAAATGGAAATACTTGGAGAGGCAGATCGATGATCCTAGTAGCGCTTTTTACCTGTGGATGTTAACACCCTCTGAATAGAGGGGTGATTGTCTTCGTTTTCGGACGGGGAAACGTGAGGCACCGGGTTTTCTTTTGCATTTGTGCATTCGTAGTTGCTTCTTGTGCTACATTTTATGACTGGCACTGTTGGGAAGCTTGGACTTCCAAGCTGGGAGAGGCTTTTATCTCCCAAATCCATAGTCTAGGAAAAAAGTGTTCTTTGATCGGGTTAGATACGGGGATTTTAGACAATGCTTGCTGCTGCAAGATAGTAAAGATCTGGACGTTAATGAAGACAGGCGTTAATGAACGGTCCTCTCCTCCTGGAAAGAAAATCATAGGATGTTTCACCTTGACTCAGTGTGAGCTGGAGCCCTGGCCATAACGCCATGATGTAACTAGCTGATGTGGAGCTTTTTGACTCAGCCCAGCCTAGGTGCCGCGGCTTAGCCAGCTCTGTGTCACTCCTGCACGCCGCGGGTCCTCGCTGGACCTCGCAGTGAGATGGAGGTGCTCAAAAACGGTCTCCTCCATTGCATGCATCTGCCGCAGAGCTCCGGAAAGCCGGGCTAGGAAAGGGAAGATGCTGCTAAGCAGGAAGGACCGAACACGTTGCAGGAGAGGCTGGCCGAGCCATAGGAGCGTGCTGCATCCCTTGTGTTGTTTGGGCTGGGTACCGCTTGAGGGATGCGGGGCTAGACCTGACAGCCCTTCGAGAGAGGGAAAGGGGCAAAACATTGAAGGTGTTACTTTTCTAACCAAGCTGGCTAACGGTGCAGGGCTTTAAATTTAGTACGAGAATTTAAAACCCGCTTCAGAGAAGTCTTATCTGGCATGTCTCGTTATTTACCAGTACAAATAAGAACAATGGGGTGCTCCTTGTATTCATACTATTTATAAATCGTTTTATTCTTTAATGATACATGGCACATTAATTGTAGCTTGACAAAGGAAACTACTTATGAAACGTTTGAGTAAACAATGAAAATCTGCTGCTTTGTCCCAGCTCCAAAGCCAGGTTTTTTTGTTTTTTAGTTCCTAGTGCTGATACTACTGATTCTGAGAAATGTGGAGTTATTTAAGTTGTTGCTGTCACTTGCACTGATTTGAAAAGGGATCTCTAAGTTCTCCTTGAACTAGAGTGGGAGATGAATGTGCCTTATGTTGAAAACTGTTCCAATCCAATTTGTGGGTTTCAGTTCAAAGGTGTCCCTTTTTTCATCCTCTTTCATTTCTTTAATGATTCTGCCCTGCTACATTTTCTTAATAGCTAGAATTTCTCATTTCTTTGCTATTTGAGCAGCCTCTGGGCATTTTTGCATGTGAGGTCACGTCACAATTTTTATGTTGAAAATCACTAGACTTTAAAACCAACATTCCTTATTATGGAAAATATTATTTTTCATGCGTCTCTAATGCAAACACTAGAAATAATAGCCAAAAAACCAGAGCAAAACTTTCATGTGCTTATTTTTGCTAAGTGTTAAATTCTTCATAGAAATCTCTAAATGATTCTTGGGTTCTATCGACGTCAACAAGCGAGTCCTTTTCCATGTAAAGCAATAGCCGCCCCGCGCTGCCGGAGCGTGAAGGCTTCTTTCCACGCGTCAGTGTAAAGTGAAGCAATCGGTGGCTATCCGCTTAGGAGAACTGCAGAAGTTGGTCACCAAAGCCTGCCTGCCCTCTTGGCGTCTCCAGCTCTCACCGCTGGCTTTACTTGGGTAAGACCTACGTTGTCGTTGGCTCCTGAAACCTTTGCTGTTGTTTTCCCGTTTCCTGTGCATATCTTGAACCTTGCGACTGCATCTCATCAGAGGATGTTCGTACCCTTTTGACTGACGGAAGGAGGCTCCAGACGTTTCCATGGTCTCTCCTGAGTCTTTTCAGAGGTTGGATGTCATTGAGCTACCACTCCAAGGGCCACTTCCCACCCCTCCAAATAACAAGGTGCCCATTTAATTTATATCAAAGCAAACCCTTAGCGTGCCGTAGTTATCCTGGTATGGTTTATTTAAACGGTGTCTAGACTAGGGAGCAGCATTGCTGTTAAGTCAGTTTGGTTTTTTACCGGCGTAATTCTGTCTGTGCTAAACCTGTGTGTAGACAAGCCCCAATACTCTGGGGTTCTAATTAGAAGAGAAACTTACGGTGACTGAAATTGAAGTAAAACAAAGAGTTTTCCTAACGTATTCTCGTGGTCAGGAAAAGCGATGCCAGATCAGTATGGTACATCAGTACCGTACTGATTTGTTTCAGTAAATTTATAGCCTTATTTCCCTTTGCCAAGAATAATACCAGAGATGTTTGAGAAACTGTGTCTTTGCTTTACTATGATGTATCCCTCTATTCTAATAAATCTTATTTTTTAATTAGACACTTAGTCTAGACTGTCACCCAGGTTTGTTTTTGTTTTAGTGATCTATTTTTGTTTACTTCCGCAGCGCAATAACATACCAAAAGGACAGTAGACCAGATGGAAGCCGATAGCTGTGATAGCACTGCAAAATACGTATAGTCGCCTTAGTTAATGCAAAAGAATTTCCAAGAGCCTATTACGAAGTGGTAATTTATGTGCCAACAGCTATGCAAAAAGTAACGAAAACAAGCGTTTGCCTTAGCGTTTCGTGCTCTGCAGTCTTTGCGCACACGCACCGTTAATAGGCTGTCGCTTGTATTGACGTAGCGATCTTCTCAATTAGCGTATAAGGGTTCTATTATGTTTAACGCAGCCATCCAGCGCTACAGGCAGAAAGGCGTGCTCGTGGTGACAACATTCGGCGGCTCCGGACGCTCAGACAGGCGGAAGGAGCTTTGGGGGCTTCTTCTTTTGGAGAAGAGCATCTTGTCGCGGTACCTCGCGTTCCCCCCCCTCTCTGCCCTGTGTCCTGGAGGTGACGTCCCTTGGCCGAGTTTGGGTTCCCTGCGGTGAGGGAAGCTGACTCCCAAGAGCCCCGTGAAGTTGAGCTGGATCCCCTACTAGAGCTGAAACACGAAGAAAGGATCTTTCTCACAGCTCTTTAAGTGAAACAAGCGGGAGAAGCTTTGAGATCTGCCATATGGCTAGTACGTGAAGTAGCACCAGTGTTAACGCAAAATCATAACTTTCTTGATTTCATACATCTGCATTTTCCAGCCTCATGGCTAGTTATACTCTTCTAAATACGCACGTACACGCACGCGTCAAAATAATTCTCTCTTCGGCACCCAGTTGGATGCGCTTGGAAAACACAACTGGGTCAGGCAGCGTTGTGGTTTTTTTCTGTAGGATCTGCCTGTACCGCCTTCAGTGCCCGTCAGGTGCCCATCTGGACTGCCCCCAGCCAGGAGTCGAGCCCCAGCTCGCCATTGCGAGGAAAGCAGCGTGTAAAAGGCGAGGGAAGCGTGGCAGCGTGACTCTGTGTTAGTTTTTAGGAGATTCAGAAGGGGAATGAGAAGGCTGCGCTTGTTTCTTCCATAGTACCTGTGACGCAAGGTGGGTGATGAAGGTTCGGAGCAAAGCTGTTGCGTTCGGTGCGGCACGCCTGTGCTGCGCTGCGGTACGTCCACTAACCTGAACGCTGACGGTTTGGCGGGGGTTTTTTATTTTATTTCTTTTTTATGAATGTAAGGGAACGCTGAAGCTGCTGTTTCAAGGGTGGCCATTGGTGGGTGTCTCCTGTGCCTCTGCCGCACGCCGCCGCAGCGTGGCAGGATGCGAAGTGCTCCCCTGCGTGTAGGGCGCGTCATCCGCTTGTTTAATTCTGCGTGAACGGCCCTGAGCAGACTGATGAGCTGGAGACTTCGTGTCTTGCTAGTTGCTGTTGACCCTGTTGCAGGCCCTTAGCTGGTTGTGTCTTCTGCGGGGCAGCTTACTGGTACAGAGCGTACTGCCGCTGGGGGGGAAGGAGCCCGGG